GTTTACCAGTTATGCAACATAGAGGAAATAATGGGTTAGCAAACCTATCACATTGTATCTTAGTTAATACCATGTAGACCCGAAGCATATACTACTGGAAGACTGGTATGTCAACATCACACGTTCGGCGAGTATTGAATGAATTGTGACATTTTGTTAAATGTTACTTACGTATACGTAGAGAGCTCGCCCCTGCACATGAATTAGGCAATTAGGCTTCCGGCGAGTATTTAGATGGGCTTCAAGTATTCCACTAATCTGTAATCGTGAGACACAGCCTGAAGATGATGTAGATATCAAGCGCCCAACGAGAATCTTCATTATTGGATTTCAATGGAAAGATGCAGCGAACATGACCCAAACACCAAACGAGTAGTGCACAGAATAGGGCAATAAAGTTTTAATGCTCAACAATCAGGCTTGAAGCAGCCATTTAAGAGCATCTACACAGTGGTTCTGTACGGATGATACGTTTGATTAAGTACTGAATACTTGTGCATCACAATGTTTTGCTTGTATTTACCTTGTTATGGCAATAAACCTAGCTGTATAATATGGACCTATTGCGTAAGGTTTATGTGAACCCAGTTGAAACTGTCCGCTTGTTGAACGAGTAGTTAGACATCATATTGAGCATGAATTAGGTATGAAACCGAGATTTGTATTTGAATTGGCCACTTCATCGTGGTTGTCTGGCACGTGTCCCAAAACCAAATCCAAGAGGGAATGGCAGCTTCTTGCTGATTGTTACGTCCAAAAAAAGTCATGGCAGTGATGAACTTGCACATACATAGTGATGAGCTTTAGAGGAGCGATGAAAGGTCGTGAGCAACCAAGGCTCGCAAAACGTACTATTTCGTAGCAGCGAGACATGTTTGACGAGCATGAAACCGCGTGCATTGCTGTAGTGGTGCTTGCAGTACTTCCAGCTCGATGTATGTGCGTGTGAATTTGTTTTCGTACATGTTGTGTGCTATGTGTGCGGCTGTTGTTGATATATCCAATAATTTCCGCTCAGGCGTAAAGCTACAGCAAGTTAGCGTCGCATTGGTGTTTCCAATGTTTTGGGCTCCGTGCGTGTCAGTTTTGTTCTTGTTTCCTATGTAGTAGGCTGCGTGTGCGCTCTGCTTTTATTGTGGTTTTTCCAATGTTACGAGGTCCCTGTGTGTCATTTGATTGGGTTTGTCACTGTTCTGGACACTCTATGTGGCAACTTGTATTGGTTTTTCCACTGTTTCAAGCTCCTTGTGTGCCTTTTTTGGTTTTTGTCATGTTTCCGTGTTTCAGCAACCGAAAGCATTGGAAAAACCAATAAAAACCATAAATGATTTTCAAACTATCTCCAGGCGCGACACCACACCCGATAGATAGTTTGAAACTCATGGTTTCTATGGTTTTAATTTTATTGGTCATACAAACCATGATTTTCAAATTATCTGCAGGCGCGACACCACACCCGATAGATAGTTTGAAATTCATGGTTTTATTTGTTTTTCCAATGTTTTCAGCTCTTTGTGTGCTAAATAAAACATTGGTTTTTCCAATGTTTTGGGCTCCTTGTGTGCCACTTTCATTGGTTTTTCCAATGTTTGGGTCTCTTTGTGTGCCACTTTTATTGGTTTCGGCTCCTTGTGTCCACTTTTATTGGTTTTTCAACCTTTTGGATTCCGTGTAGGCTAAGTCATACTGTTCGAGAGAGCACAAGTGACAAGTCGGACTTCAGAGGTTGCGCAACTCACCTGCGTCGTTCTGTCTTGCATACTAGGGCCCCTTAGGGGCAATCAGCCCCTGTGACCAATGTGGTATATGTGGTGAAACCAGGAAAGGCAGGAAAAGGGTAGGTACATGGGGGGAGGGGGCACCACATATATATATATATATATGTACAAATATTCAGATACATGTATATACGTATTCATGTACCTGTAACCAGTAAACAGACACACACACACACAAAGCATATGCAGATGTTTACGTGTTTTTATATAGCCTTCCACATCGAGATCCCCGTGCCATGGACACCTCGCACACTCAGTGAAACCCTACATCCTTTCGGGTGCTTTGATTTGACGAGGCTTCAATCTTAATAGGCCCCACAGCCAGAATACTTCCCTGCAGTACCCGAAATCCTTAACACGAGCCTGGATCTGCCTTTGCTCTCTGCAGGCAAAAGCAGTGACAACATGCGTCAGAGGTGTGCCACTTGTTGCTTTTGCGGCTTTTGCTGTGTTGTGTTTTCTACATGTTGATTTTTTGACGTTTCGCGGTGTGCTTTGCTTTTCGCGGCTTTTCGATTTTTCTTTTTCTCTGTACTTTTTTACTTTTCGATGCAATGGCTTACTTATCAACACTTTTCGGGTTTTCTGGAATTTCGCAGAATCCTTATTTTTTTGTTACCACTTTTCGCTTTTCATGGCTTTTCGCGTGCAGTTTGGCATTCTCCATTTATCCGCGCCCACAGTTGTTTGCAAGCAAAATCCAGGTCGGACCACGTGTGTCGCACAAGCGGCTGCAAAGGCCAACTGTAGCACAAGGAATTTGCCAGCATATTCACCATGTACACCTTTCAGGACAGTTCTCGTTACGGCTTGAGTGTGCACAAGCAGCACAACCCTGCTTTCAACATGAGTAGCTGCGCGTTCTGAAAGAACCGACGGATCCTTAGCCTGATGCGGCACACAGGTTCAGAAATCCGTGTAAACGCAGCTTTTGGCTGTAGGTGCATGCCCAGATCTGTTCCTCTGCCACTACCAGCAAGTGCAATGGCATCAGGCGTCCGTAAGCTCCCACAACACAGGCTCAAATCGATCGTGTGTCCGTCACGTGGCTTTGCGTCTGTCCGTGGGAGTGCTCGCGCGAGCGATGCGAGCGCCAAGTCTTCGGCGGTGTGTCTGGCAGAGTCGAGCTCTCTTGAGCCACTCCGAGCCCTCTGCCCTCGGGCCTCTCGAAGCCCAGCACTGCAAGGAGTCACAATTTGTTTTTCAATTTTTCTACAACTTGATAAGAGAGCAGCAGCGCAGCTCAACCAAAGCAAATGGACCAAACACTGCTCACGGCACGCCGTGCTTCAGAACAACCTTCTACAGTAGCCTATGTCAGCACGGCGATGTACTATGACAATTGATCGGTGTCAAACGGAAAACGTGCAATTCTCAAAAGGAAGGACGGAGGAGCAGCAGTGTTGATGCAGGCATCGCAGCAGATGCGCACCGCCAAGCTCGCGGCCCATTCCTTCGTGAAGCTCCGAAGGTGCAGGGTTGTACAATTCTTGGGCCATTATGATACGGTTTGGGAGGATCGTGAAGGAGGCGGATGAGAAAGAAGGCGGCACCACGAGCACGAGCACCGAAGGGGAGGATCTGCCTGATTGAGCTGAGAACTGCCATGGGCTCCGCCGCGGCGCAGGAGTTGCCCGAGTCCTTGAGCAGCGCGTTGCCCACCTTCATGGAGCCCCTCGGGCGAGAATAATCTGACAGGCACTGGGGGAGGATTCGGAGAATGTGTGTATCTGCTTCGCACACTGAGGACATTCTGGAGTTTGTCGTCCCACGACATCACTGGAACACTTGACAAGGCTGGCCTTGGGTGCGAGAGAACCCTGGCCAATGCAGAACTATGGCTTAAAGAGTGACATTCTCAATGGTCAACCAGATTTGTCTCAGACAAGGAGGGTCGGTTCTTGGTTTTCCTTTTCTTGTGCTCCAAAGCGTAACGGCGTAATCGGCCGCAGGTCATTGCGCGCGTGTTGAGGCCGCCCATTTCTTGGGCTCCAAATCGAGTCGGGAGCACCTGCCGAGCTGCAGTGTGATTGAGCCTTGTCAGTGACGGGGGCGTCTCCTTGGAAGAGCGCGGCCTTCGCCCGGAGCCCAGGACGGACAATTTTTCTTTACACAAAGGAGGAAACACACAAGAAAGCCAGCAAAGGAGGCAAGCCTCCGCTTGGAAGAAGGGATACTACGTGTGCTCATAAAACCTATCTGTGGCTCATGGCGTGCTCGTTGTGGCTGGCATGAGACAGAGAGTTTTGTCTGAGGCTGGCATTGCTAGCAGAAACAAAGTGAGCTTCCTCAGAAATAGACCCAGGACAGAATCAGCAAGTAGGACCAGCAAAGGTGGCAAAAGAATGCTGAATCATGCGGACATAGAAAGAGCCAGTAGGACGTTTGAAGATAGGTTGTTCAAGAAAGCTGAGGCCAAAGGAAGGGAAGGCAAAGAATGGGCGTTAGAGACGGACTGCACTGCTGAGAGAAGAAGGAGCTACACGCGATGAAGCGTTGCGAAAGAAGTATGCTGACTCGGTGACACGTCAAGTCGAAATGACAGAAAGACCGACAAGCACAGCACTGCGTCTGGCTCCCTGCAATCCACACCCTGTAAGCGACGCACGAAAGGCATTTTATTCATAAGGCCAGGTCCATGCATGTCCAAGACACGAGGTGCAGACAGTACATAGGTGTCTTAGCAGCTGTTTCAGGAGCTGCGCCCTGTGCACTAAGTCACTAAGTCTAACTTGTCAGTGTCATTGCATCATCGCGGCGCAGGTGCCGAGCGTCTGCGGGAGCTCGGCCAAGCGCTCCAGGAGCTCACAGCGCAGGCCCAGGCCCAGGCGCGGCGAGCCGCAGCTCAGCTCTGCGCTTCCGGGCCCCCGGGCCCCCCGGGCCCCCCCCCCAGTTTTGGGAGGCGTCCACAGAGAGTGGCCCTCAGGGCACAGCCGGCACAGCAGAGTGCCGTCGCTTTGAGAAGGCGCGGCCAGCACCAGGAGCTCTTTCCCTTTCCCTTTCCTCCCCTTCGGCTGTCATGGAGGCCTTTGTCGCCTCGATGGCGAACCGCGCGTAGTCCGAACGACCGAACAAAGAGTGCTCAAAGCGAGGGTGCCTGCAACCGTTCAGGTTTCACAAGCTCGTATCCACTGCCTTGACGGCCCAGACATTTCTGGTAGTGTAGGGTGCCGAGTCAGGGCCCGTTCTCGCCGAAGGGGACTCGAACTCCTTTCTAACGCCATGGCATCCGTCTTGGTTTGCGGCGGCGGCAACGCGGCACAGGTCGTCTCGTGCCTTTTCGCATCGCGCTACAAAGTCACTGCCATTTCGCTCTATGCCGATGAGGCAGAACGGTGGGACAAGGCCGTCAAGGAAGCCAAGGGTATGACCTGCAACTTTCAGGGCACCAACAAGGCGGTGAACTCCATGCCTGACTTGATCACCAAAGATCCCTCTGCGGTGAAAAACTGTGACGTCGTGCTCTTCACAGTGCCCTCTTCCTTCCACGAGCAGTACTTCCGGGCCCTGGAACCCTTCGTTCAGAAGGGCACCATCTTCGCGGTAATGCCAGCGCGCTCCGGTTGCGACTTCCTCTTCAAGAAGGCCGAAGCAGAAACCGTCCAAGTGATGTTTTGAGTCCTGTGTCCTCTCTCTCTTTTGTGGGCAGGTGATGGGTGAGAAGGCGGACACTTTGGGTCTGGCGGCCTTCGAGACCTTGCCGTGGGCTTGCAGGTTCAACGACTGGGGGAAGACCGCCACGGTCTTGGGAACCAAGGCGGGCCGCGGGGAAAAGGGGTCCCCGGGGCCCCAGAGAGAGAGAGAGAGAGAGAAAGGAACTTGCGCAGAAGAGCCTAAGATTCAGCAAGATTCTCAGTTTCAGCAACGGGGAAGATGTTTCCTCCGCGAGCGCATAGCGGCCGCTTAAGCTTCTGATTCTGAGGGAAAAGGTTCGGAAACAAGTGACACGGTGTGTATGATCATGATGCTGGCGATCCTCTTCGTGGTCGTTCTAAGAGATGTCGTCGCCGCCAGAAAGAGGCTCTTCTGGCGCGGCCAAGTCCGAAAACGGAGCTCAGATCATGATCAGACTCGTAACATTTCAGAGGCAGAAGAGCGAGCAAGAGCGAGAGCAGAAGAGCAAAAGCATGAACGAGCATGAGAACCTGACCAACGGCCGTCGGAAGCAGCGAGTCGCGAGCGACTCGCGTGCACCGCGCGTTTCACCCAGCCGTGGGCCGTGGTCAGCATGCTAGCTGCTAGCATGCATGTTTGAAAAAAGGTTTGTCCACTAGGGCCACTAGGGTGCCTTGAGTGTTCGCGGGCAAACACGCGCTTCGAGAACTGGGTGAGGGAAGACAGATGACCAGCGAAAGACTGGACAGATGAGATGTAATTAAAACGAGAAAAATGCACAGCTGGGGAACCTTCAGGAATCCATCAGCGCGGCTGTGGTGCCACCAGTGGGGAAGACAAAGCTGGACGTGATCTTGAAGCTGCAGGGCTTGCTCGGCGTGGAGCCTAAGATCGTGGAGTGCCCCAATGTTATGAGCATTAGCTTGGGCAACCCTGGACAAGTGATTCACCCGGGGGTCACCTATGGCAAGTGGCACAATTGGGATGGGAAGCCCTTGCCCCAAAAGCCCTTGTTCTACCACGGTGTGGACACGCAGACCGCAGATGTCTTAGAGGGGATTTCCGGAGACATCACAGCCATCTGTAAGGCCCTGAAAGGTTTGGACCCCAATTTCGACTGCAGTGAAGTGAAGACGATCATGGAGTGGTACATGGCATCCTACTCTACCAGCATCGCAGATGGCTCCACTTTGCAAAAGGCTATGAGCACCAACAGTGCTTACGAAGGCCTCTGCCATCCCATGAAAGAGTCTGGAGGCGGCTACGTTCCGGACTTCCAATTCCGATACCTCAGTGAGGACGTCCCGACTGGCCTGTGCTTCTCCCGCGGTGTGGCAGAGCTCTTGAATGTGAAGACGCCCACCATCGACAAGGTCTTAACATGGGCGCAAGGGAAGCTTTCCAAGGAGTTCTTGAAAGATGGGAAGATGAACGGCAAAGACATCAAAGACACCAGAGCTCCCCAAGCCTTCGGTGTCACTTCGAAAGAGATGCTTTGCAGCTTCCTGAGAATCAAGAAAGAAGCCACGTGCTGCGCTGGCATTTGTAAGTGACTAAGACCTCAAGGATCTTGACTCGTGGCGATGAGCCAAAAGCCCGTGTCTAAAGAGTCTACAGTTTGCGCGTATGGGAAGCCATGGCCGATTTGTCGGGCCTTGGGCCTTGAGATGTGCCGACTTTGAAGCTCTCTCTCGCCCTCAGAGCGGCAGAGCAGGTCCGAACACGGTCCGAAGGGTAGGTTAGGAGAGTCGGAGATGCAAGAGAGAGCAAGAGAGAGCAGGAAGTATCACAAGAGCATGTATGCTATCGCCCCTCCACTGCAGAATCGAATTCTGGTGTTCATCGAGTAGGATCTCCACTTCAGCTGGCAACGAACCCTCAGTTCAGTGGAGTGGCGAAGATCGTTTTTTCGCAGAGAGCTGCCCGTGGAAAAGGCAACACCGCAGCTGCTTGCAGCGCAGACCTTCCACCGCCCACTGTCGACAGACGAGACCGAGCCGCCAGCCGCGCCGCGGAGTCATGGAATCCATGAAGCTGAGTCAATGTTAGTCAAGGCATGCCTCTGTTATGTTCTGCACTCGCTTGCACTCGCTTGAGCGCCGCGCAGGTTTGCACTGGACTCTAGAAGTACTGTAGTATCCGGACTCTGCGATAGCCCTGAGCCCCTGCCAACTGCGACAACGATGCCGGTCTAATCCAGAGCTACTCCTGCCTTTGCGCCGCGATTGGGTATTTCCCGGTGACGTGGCTACGCAGATGCCCTTGGAGGAGCACTCTGAGAGGGTCGGAGTGTCCTTTCTTGCACTGGAATTGGCAGGAACAGGAGCTCCTGCACGTCGTCGCGCAGGATGACGACGGCTCTGCGATGGCTGAGGTCAGGGCCTCAGGGCCTCAGGGCCTCAGGGCCTCAGGGCCTCGGACATGGGCGCGCTGGGCAGCGCGCTGGGCAGCGATGTCGGATGTCCATGATGAGAGCATCGTCGAAGGTCTTCGTGTACAGCGACGACACCATGCTCTCTCTGCGGCGCCGCGGTCTTGGAGCGCCGGACCGTGCCAGAGTAGCTCCTGCGTTCCTTAAGGCGCCCTCTGCAACTCGGCCAAGATCCAGCACCTGGCCCTCAAGCGCGGTGGCCCGGAGAGCTGTGGGCTCTTCAGCAGGTTTGTGGCCTCGCCTGTGACCCGAAGTTCCGCCTCACTTCTGACCCTGGATTTGCGGTTTATATTAGTACTACTAGTACTAGTACTCGTACTACTAGCAGCAGCAGCAGCAGTAGTGGTAGAAGTAGCAGTAGGAGGAGTAGTAGTAG